AAAAAAAAAAAAATTTAAAAAAAAAATAAATAAAAATAAAAAAAAAATAAAATCTAATTTCCATTCCAGCTACTTAATGATGGTCTTGAGTCCGTTCTCTTGTGTTCTGTCCCCAGTCATCCCCAGCAGATAGCCGTAGTGGCATAACTTCTGTACACAGCCAGGAGGAGCCCAAGGGCAGGGAATCCACCGCAGGCCAGCTGGCCTCCTGCTTGTGGTCCCAGCAAGGGTTTTGTCTTTGCTCTGCCACAGTCGTCTGTCCTAGGCTTTGGGGAGCGATGAATCTCTGAGCTGTGGGTTTCATCCTCCTTCCTGGGCATATCTTTGGATTCTTGGTTGACGAGAAAAAAACAGAAAACAGAAGTGACCGTCAATGAGGTGTTTGCTAAATAGTCTCCAACTATGAGCTCAACCGTGTTATCCGCCTGGAGTTGTTCCTATCTCTAATTTTGAAAACTTGCGGGGGACTTTGCCAAAATGAGTAATAACGTGGTCGCATCCCTTCTGAGGAAACCGTGGCCGCACAGGTCAAAACCGTACGCGTCGCACAACTCAGCAACTGTACTAAAGCAAAGAGGTGGGGGAAGAGAGTGACCACGTGAACAATTTGACAGGACAGATTGCCTGCTTGGCAGTCTTTTTCTGGGAAATGTTGGTACTTTTTCATTATTGCCTTCAAAATGGGGACAGGATTCTGATGGATCTTGGTCATAGCTGCTACAGATTTCTATGTGGGCTTATGCTTGGAGATGAGGCTTTAAGAACAGAACCAACCCAGTCCTACCTTGTGCCCTACATTTGGGCACCATGCTTCTTTCTCTTCCTAAGGGGCTGTATACACTCGGTTAGCAACTTGCATCTACAGTGACTGGGATTCTGTCTTCTGTTTTGTTCCTAGGGTTCTCAGAAGCGAGCTATCACCACCCCAGAAACCCCCCTAACCAAAAGAACTGTGTCTACTCGGAGCCCCCATCAGCTTCTCTCGCCGTCGAGTTTCTCTCCAAGGTATGGATTGGAATGAATCCAGCTGCCAAACAGCAGGCCTGCCCTCCCCTTTCTCTGGTTATCGCGTGGCTGACTCTACAGAGTGACCCTACTAGATGCAGGTGGACATGTACCTCCGCGGTGCCTGGCCGGAGAGCCTCGTTTCTCCCTGCCCTCCCTGCCTTCTCTTCCTGTGTGGAAAATTACCGTGTCTTCCAGTAGTTAAGGAAACTCACTTTCCACCCACTTTTCTGGGGCTCATTTCCTAGATCAGGAACTGATATCTTCTGTGGAAAACAACCTATCTATTCAGAAGTCCTGGAGTCTTAGGAGTCTTGCCAGTCGAGACAAATAGGTTTCCACCTGCCTCTGTTAGTTCATTTGTTGTTGGGTTTCTTCTTCTTCTCTTAAGCTAAAGTATTTAGTTTTTAAAAAGAAAAGCACGTCTCTGCGTTCATAATGTTGTGTAACCCGTTTATTGTTCCTCTCTCAGGTTACAACTAGTTTCTGAGAGGTTGCTTGTCGCTGTGACTCTACACAGACTTAGTTGGCATTTTTATCCCCGCTGCCACCTCTGCACATAAATCCACAAAGATCACATGTGATTTTTTTTGAAATCCGTAAATGACATGTCTTCTATTGGAGAATCCCATAGGTGAGGGCCCTGCCGAGTCAGAGAAAGGTTTTGGTGTTGCCACATCAGGATGAGGCTAAGAAGCAGTCACGTTAACCGTTTAGGGAAATACTGACTGCCATCGGCCACCACCTGTGCTTCGGATCACGTCTTCCAGATTCAGCAGAGCTTAAGATTTCCCAGCTCCTTCTCTTGAGAAAGGAGGTGATCGCAGTCATTCCAGATGAGCAGTCCTTGGACTCTGATGGACAGTTAACGCCAGTTTGGTCCACTCCTGCTCTCAGGTTTCGGACATGAGCTTTCTAGACTTCCAAGGGCATCTTTGAAACTTGCTGTATAGACATGGTTCTCATGAGCTGAACCAGCACTATCACGGCGGTTATAATCTCTAAATAAGCAGTCGCTCAAAATGTCATGGCGTTAAAGGGCCGGTGGTCATGGCTGTCCCACAGAGTTGCTCTGGGAGGAGCTTGGAAAAGTCGGCAATGCACTGCCTAGGCATTTTTTAATGCACGCTAATAAAGCTGATGTCAGAGACTGGTTTGGTAATTTATGAAAGTAACCTCTAAATTATTCAAGTAGAGGCGGCCCTGGAGAGCGAGGTGATTAATTGAGCTCATTTTCTGTAGCCTAGCCTGTCTGTCCAAAGAGGGACTCATAGCACCAGTTGCAACGTCACCCACATAAAACTGGCCCCTGCAGAGTCTTGGCACATTAAATGAAGACCGTTTGAAATAGACCTCTCTGTGAGCTGTGTGCACGACCAGAGGATTAGAGGGCCTCACTGTCATCCAAGCTGTTCAGCAGTATTTGTGTGTTTTTGTTTACCAGTCAGTGAGAGGAAATATGAGAACTTGTCAGTTGAGCCTTGAAGGATGGGAATATTTGTTCACCAACTGACTGAATTCATTACATCTCCACCTCTGTAGACACTGGGGAAAGTTGATTAATTCCTTTTAACTGTGTTTTATTGGGGTGTCTACCTTAAACTACATCGTGAGGTATTAGATGTGCACAGCAACTTTGGGCTTATCCACAGCCAGGCTCTAATGGTATTCTAATAAGTGCTAAAAAAAAAATCGTAAGAAACCAAGGAAAGTGATACTTGAAACTTGCTTCTTAATCAGTTCAGCGTTTGGTTTGGTTTGGTTTGGTCTCGCTTTGTTTCATTTGAAGCCAGGAGAAAACCCTTTAAAATCTGTCTCTGTCTCTAAACTTACCCTCATTCCTAGAATTCCTTAAAGGTCCGGGTATGTCCGACCCCATTAAGCTGATTAGATTTAGAAAATGTGAGGCCAGCTTGACGTTTGTCCAATCCCCAAGGTGACCTCATTGTATTCCCCTCTCTTTAGATACGAGTATAGTAATATTTACCTGTTTTGCTTCCGATCAGTGCTGCTCCCTCTCAGAAGTACAACGCGAGAAGTAACCGCGGAGAAGTGGTTACCTCCTTTGGCTCAGCACAGGGAGGGTCTTGGTCTGGAAGAGGAGGGGCTGGCAATATCAGCCTGAAGGTCTTGGGGTGTCCAGAGGCACTAACCGGGAGCTACAAATCAATGTTTCAGAAGCTTCCAGATATTCGAGAAGGTGATTGTTTTTCCCTTTGAAATTCTGGAGCGGTGTCTGGGTGGCTCAGTCGTTGAGCGCCCAGCTTTGGCTCAGGTCATGATCTCATGGTTCGTGGGTTCAAGCCCCGCATCAGGCTCTGTGGTGACACCTGAGAGCCTGGAGCCTGGATTCTGTCTCCCTCTCTCTCTGCCCCTCCCCCACTCACACTCTCCCTCCCTGTCTCTGTCTCTCTCTCTGTCTCGAAAATAAATAAAACATTAAAAAATTTTTGTTAAGAAAGAAGTTCCAGAAGCTATAAAACCACCTGGAAAGGTATAAAGTAACAAAACTTTAGCAAGGCTGGCAGAACGAGTCCCAAGGTTGCCTTTGAATACAGAAGTCGGTAGGTGTCCTCCAGATGCCCCTGTTAGTGGAGGGACATGAGTGGAGGGGATGCTCTCAGTAATTCTCCCAAGTCACTTTGCCTCCCTAAAGAAAAGTGCTAAAGAAAAAGCACGCAACCATTTCCCAGTGACAACCACTTGAACTATGTCAAAAAAGCCCAAGTGAGGTCAAAGACACTCACGGCTTCTTCCTTGTAAAGAATGGAAGACGCTCCAGGTTGGGCTTGACTTCCCCTAAACCTCACTGATGACCAAAATAAAAGGAAGACTGGGTTGTGGGGATCCGTGCTGACTCTCAGGGATTCTGCCACACGATATGTGGCCAAATGGAAGGCCACTTCAGCAACCCGATTTCGAGAGATTCGTTAGGCTTTAGAAAGACGTCCTGAACGCCCTCCTGCTTCTGGCTGACTTTAATATCTTACAGCGTGCGGTATTTTCTCCCCTTGGCAAGTGGAACGTCCTAAACGCGATACTTTTTCCCCTCTGGGATTTCAGTTCTGACCTGCAAGATAGAAGAACTCGGCAGCGAACTTAAGGAACATTACCAGATTGAGGCTTTTACTTCCGTTCTGGTCCCAGCTCAAGTAAGAATGGTTCTACCAGTTCTTCCCAGTTACTGTTGTACTTTTTAACTGATGGGGAACAGGCATCGTTCTTGCGTCCTTTTTTACGTCTTGTCTACATTCTAGTTAGAACATCCGTCTTGGTCGAATTTGATAAAATGGATCCTTCTGAAGAAAGATCTACAAGAACTGTCGGGTTTTGTGACCAGAGACGGTCATTTTCTGTGCACTTGGTTAGGGTCTTGTGCTCAAGCAAAGACTGAGGCCTTTTCCTTTTAGCGGTAAGGCAGGTGCCCCATGGAGATTTCCTACAAATAGAAGCATTCAGTTATCAGGATATGAGGACAACGGCAAGGATAGGGAGTCTAGAAGCGGTGACTCCTAGTCTCCCCTAATCTGGTCTCTGTCCTTAGGGACCAACTGTTGCCAGTAGTATCTTGAATGGTGATATCATCTGGCATATGGATCAGTGCTTTCTCTCTAAAACATTTTTTAATCTAAGCGGAAATGTGTTCTAGAACATTCCTTATGGTACTTCTGTCATTGTTTGCATTCGGAGAAGATTGACCAGTTGGGGAAGATATGCAAAACCATGTCATAGAAGGAAGTTTGGGAAAAGATTAGACTTCCTCAGTCGGCCCCCAGGAGTGGGAACAGGATAGAGGAAGCCCCGGGGAGAGAAATTTCAGCTCAATTCAGAGAAGAACTTCCTGTTAAGAGACAATATGGTATGTGGTCAAGGATATGGCTCTGGAGCCAAACTTCAAACCAGACTTTACCCACTCTTTGACCTTGATTAAATTATGTAACCTGTTGGGCTGATTTTTCTCATTTGTAAAGTGAGTACAATAACAGTATCCACGGTTTCACAATTGTGAAAATTAGACAGGTTAATACACGTAAGCCTGTAGAACAGTGCCCGATGTTCATGAGCTCGGTAGACCTGAGCTACTGTTAATAGTCGAAACTGTCCAGAGATGCAGTGGGCTGCCTTGGGGTGCAAGTTTCCCTTTACCTGAGATGCTCAAGCTTAGGTGGCCACTTAGAGGGGCTCAAGCATGGGGGTGGGGGAGGGGGGTGCAGACAGACCAAATGCCATCTGAGTGTTCGTTCTTCTGCCGTGAGAGGCAGCGGTGATTCTCGTCAATATGATGCCCCGCCAAAAAATATTTGCCGTTTGGGATTTGCTTTGTGACTTATTCTGTTGACCTCAGGTTTTGAGCTCCTGTCCCAAAGACTGTCATTCTTTTGTTACACCTTCGGTAGGAGCCTGTCACTCTGCTGGGCCAGATTGGCTGTGATACCAACGGGAAGCTGAACAGCAAATCCGTGATTCTTGAGGGAGACCGGGAACATTCCTCAGGGGCTCAAATTCCAGTGGATTTATCTGAGCTCAAAGAATACTCTCTGTTTCCCGGACAGGTGAGATGGGACGCGCGAGGGCTGTTCACCCCGTAGTACGTGTAGCGGGCTGCAGCTCTGGGGACGAGCATTCTGTCACCGGCTGCCTGTCACTTTCAACCTGTGGCAGTGGGGGGTGTAGCTAGAGCCCAGGCTCATGGGGATTCCAGCTTTCCCCCAGTGCTCTGACCTCGGCTCTGGGATCTGTTGCCGGGGTCCAGCTCCACCCCACAAGATGTGTCATTCTGGCCATATTCCTTATCCTCTTGAAGCCAGAGTGTCTTCATCTCTAAAATAGGAATAATAATTCTTACCTCATAGGATCATTACAAAAAATTAGGTCATCCGTATAGAGCATAATTATTACTAATACAACCTCTTTGTTTTCTTTCTTTTTTAAGTTTTTTATTTATTTTGAGAGGGAGGGAGAGAGAGAGAGAGCAAGAGTGAGTGAGCACAAGCAGGGAAGGGGTGTGGGGAGGTGGCGGGGCAAGAGAGAATCCCAAGCAGACTCTACACTGTTACGAACCATGAGATCACGAACTGTGAGATCATGACCTGAGCCGAAACCCAAGAGTCAGACACTTAACCGACTAAGCCACCCAGGCTCCCCAGCCCCTTTAATTTGTTTTCTAAAAAAATACCCCACGTTTACAGCTACAAAATGAGATAGCTGGACTTAGTACCTAATTTTTTTTTTTTTTAAGTAAACTATCCCCAACGTGGGACTCAAACTCACAACCCCAGGGTCAAGAGTCGCATGGTCTACCCACTGAGCCAGTCAAGTGCCCCGATACTTAATAATTTTTAACTGTATCAAAATAGTTTATTGCTGACTTGTCATTTGTCTCCCGTTCTGCTTCTTGTCCTTCAGGTTGTCATTCTGGAAGGAATCAACACCACGGGTGGAAAACTTATTGCCACCAAACTCTACGAGGTACCCCGGCAGTTGCCCAAC